CCCCGAAGTCTAATAAACGTGGTTAACCCGTCCAAATTTGAAATCGAAAGAGGGTGATAGGATGCCGTTTTTCGGTTGCATTTCACGGGCGTCTTGCTTGCATTTCACAGGCGCATCATTCGACTCCTTCATTCACACTGCAATCGGATTATCGCGAGTTTTGCTTCTCATTTTTGAGCGCAATAATAGATCTAATTGGTCGCTGAGGTATCTTTGAAGGAAATGGCTCATCATATTTTTCCTTCATATTGAAAAGGTTATTACTAGGCCTTCCAAATCCCTACAGCTTCTCGCGCTCTATGTCTGTTCACCCAGACTGATTCTGTTATGTTTAGAAGGTCAAACAGGTGATGCGTTTCTGTAGGAAACAGAAAATTTTGAAGTCTGAAGCTTTCAAACTTTGTCATTTCGTCTTTCCTGATTAACGATGAGATAATCTCGTCTATCACCTTCGATGATTTTATGAAATCTATGTGGAAATCATTTGAAAGGCGTTACGCAATCTTCCGGAGTCATCGTGATCTCCGTGCTCCACAAGTCGTCCTAGACGGTAATAGCTTTGCAATTTTTGGTGGCACTAGTCTGAAAAATACCCCTGCGCAAAATCCCCTTGAAAAACAACGAAAGTTTTGCTTTTGAAAGTTTTCTTGCTTTTGAAAGATCTGTATTTGAAGCAATTCAGCAACTTTCTGGAAACTTGCTGAATTGTTTCAAATACATTTTGATGTATGATCGCGTTTTACTTGTATTAGACTTGGAATCGTGTACTAAACTACAGTATGTCCCAAAAGTAAGGGTTTGCCCAACTTGTCATTGATACCTCTGCAACAAAGGAATGATTCCTTCTCAAATTCCAACCAGCAACACTATAGGGGAACTGTGGTGATATGCCTGAATAAAATGAAAGGAAAACAAAACACGCAGATTTTTTTTTCAATTTTTTATTTTCCAAAAACATGGTGTACCCAAAAGTAAGGTTCACGTCGGTGTTGTTTTCCTAATAATATTATAATTCTGAACAACAGTAACAAATGTGACAAGTGAAAGAGTTCCGTGATATTAACAATATATTCAAAAAATTACAACAACAGCAACAAGTGTAACCTTGCAACAATCCACTCCCTTGGGTGGTTTTAGTCGTCCGCTTTGACGCGCTTAAGGCAATTTGGGAGATTGTTTGGAGTGGAACCCGCTTTCAAACCTCTTTGAATGGATTTTTTGTTGTTCTACTTTATCGACCGCCCATAGTTGGTTGAAAGTCAGGTACGAGGATGTTCCAGAGAGTCCTGATCGAATATGAGTCTGGTTAGACGAGAAAACTAAAATTTCTCTCTTCGAACCGCACCGTTGTGGAGGCCCTGGCGTACGGTAATGTTTTTGCTGAAATTTGAAGCTCACGAAT